TCTCTCTCTCTCTCTCTCTCTCTCTCTCTCTCTCTCTCTCTCTCTCTCTCTCTCTCTCTCTCTCTCTATCTATCTTCTCCTTTTGAGAAGTCAGGATTTCCTGCTTCAAGTTGTAAAGGCTCAGCTTCATAGCAGTTGTACAGCATTCCCTCCCCTTTCCTCCTAAAGAAAATCCTAAAAATTCCTTTTTAACGGTTTGTTGAAATTTTGCTTTAGAATCTCTGAAGGGCTTTCAGAAGCAGACATGTTTTTTTCTCTCTTTCTCTCACTATTCCTCAGATGTTGGATAACTGAGAAAAATAATGTTCTTATTAGGAAGAGAAATACATATATGGCTCAATCCCAGGGTAGAGCGGTCCTTCAGAGAGAAATGAGACTTGTGTGTAGCATGTGCTCAAGTGCCCGCGCCTAGGAGGTTCCCAGGAAATAATAGCTCCTTTCCTCTTTCTTAGTAGATCATGTATAAACTATTAACATGCTGGCATCTAGCTAAATATGTTATTGTGGCTGAAAGAAATTCTCTTTATGGTAATCCTTAAAAAGCTAAAACAAAGGCAGTTAAATGGAATAAAATTGATAGTGATAAATTATTTTAATATATAATTGTGGATGGAATTAGTTGTTTTTCTAAGAATTACTGACCTATATTCTTCATAATAAGAAATGGTAGAGCAATGTTGATTCTAATTTTGGCAGGAACATTTTCTCAGGCTAAATGCCTACACATAATGGTGATTCTCTCTAGCTACATAAGAATTTGTAATTTTTCTTCTTCAGTTTTTGGCTTCTTAAAAAGATGACGTAGATATCATTTTTGTCCTTGCCCTAGACATTTTCTGGTTACAGAAGGCCATTTCTAACATGTAACAAACATGTGGGAGATATTCCATTTTCAGTTAATTCAAAACTGATCTTGGAATTTTAGTAGATGCTTTTAAAGATTGATTAGTTTCTCCAAGCCTGGGTATGACTGCTCTGTAGGCCTGTTGTCCGGTGACCCCCACCCCTCCCCCTACAAACACCCCCGCCTGGTTGTCCCCTCTTCTTATAAGGTCAGGCATTGGGTATTATGATGTTTTGTATCATGTTTTCAGTGACTGAGCACAAGGTAGAAATCTATGAGATGCTTATCAAGTGAATACATTTTGATCAGCTATTTCCAGAAAGCCTAGAGAACTTCCTAGTAACCTTAATCCTTAGCAAACTGATTTTTAGCCACAAATTCGTCTCAAAGCAGTCCTTCTGAGTGTTTCTAGACACTGCACCCAGCAGTGACCTCTGAAAGTCTAGATGGGGCAGGGAGCACAGCACTTCCTGGATTCTGGGTGTCTCAGATTTTGTGGGGTCCCCTTAGCCTCTTCCCATCTAATGCAGAGAAGTTGACATATGTAGGACTCATCTAGCTTTAGATGGTGTACAATGAAAATAGAATACCATTATAAAATAACTCTCTAGGTCTGCTGCAGAGTCTGACTATCAGCTTTAATCTGATAGAATTTTCTATTGTGGACCATCTTAAATTTCCTCAGAAATGTATCAAGACATTGGTATAGTAACTGGAAAACAGGTGCTGAATAGGGTGGGTATTACTAGTATTTTCAATCAAATTATTTGATGTAATGATTGGTATTATAATCGAGGTATATTTTCTCACATCTTTTGTGCATATCAATATACACTAAAGATGTTTTGGCAAGAACTGATTTCATTCTTTTTATTTATAGTCTTCATCCAGAAAAATATAAATGATTGCTCTCTGTTCCTTACTCCATGTCTCTTATATAAGTGGGGCTCAGTGTAGTGGTTATGTTACTTTTCTGGGCCTCAGAGCCTCATCTGTAAGATGGAGCTAATGTAATATTTACTCTATAGTATTTTATAGTTTCATGCATGTAATGGATCTTTGAACAGTGGCTGGCTCATAGTAAGTGCTCAAAAAGTGTTAGCTGCTATACTTACTGTTACTATTTTTAGTATTATGTTTTGTTTGTATTGTTCAAGGGATATCTCTATCTCATACAGTGACCTTTATTTTCTTAAATATGTTAAGAATTAAAAGAGAACAAAAGCACATCAAATGCTTTACTTGTGTGGTTTACAGTAATTGTCCCTAAGAAGATTGGTGCTCAGTGGTCACCAATAGAAGAGACTAATAAAAAGGGATGCTTTTTAGTTTTCTTAATAACTATTTCAGTTTCTTAGAGCAGTATGTTTTTACTGCCTAAGTTCTGTGATACAGACTTCATTTCAGAAGGACTGATTGAAATTTTAGTGTTAAAAATACCACTGTATTTTATTTTCACATAGCCTATGAGAGCTATTGTGAAATATAGAATATTGGTTGTGAGAACACCAAATGCTGCTTAATATTTTTCCAGTCACCTTTTTCTTATATCCAGTATTTTTCTTCTGAAAGAAGGAACTTCCTTCTTCACCCCCACCTATCAATCTTCTAAGGAAGGAGCTTTTGGAGAAAATCTTAGTTTTGACCCAGGAAAAAGGACTCAATTTTACATCTTGATTTATGTATCACTTTATCCTGATTTCTTCCTTTCAATGTACAAAATCATTTTGTTGTTCTTTATAGTCTATGCTAGATAGTGTAAGAATCCAAAGAAAGATAAGCAAATAAAGTGTTCAGCATAACTGAGACAAATTTAGAAGAAAGCAATTGGTTATAGGCTATGGATAATCAGTATTTTCATGACGTTGAAGAAAATAATTTCCGACAGAGGACAGAAATGATGTGCCCAGTTACAGCTAGTGGATACTTGTAAGAACATTAGGTTATTAAATGTGGAACAGGTGCCGTCATTATGTACCCAACTGAAGATAATAGTTTAATTTAAAGAAAGGGCAATGGCTGAGTCAGAGCCTCCCAGAGATGTTTGTTCCTTACAAAAAGTTTATCTTTTAACTTCTGGAGGATATGCCTCTTGGTTTGATGAAGCCCATTTAAGTTGAGCAGCCAACCTTTGACTCATAATTCATCTCCTATCCTAGGGATGTTATGTCTCTTTGGAATATCTCTTTCTTTCCATTGCTTACTCCTTCCTACTCACTCCTTAGAGATGTATTTGAAATGTATTGACAGAACAGAAAATAATATAGCAAATATTAATGTACCTACCATCATTTATTAAATAATGTTCTGCAATATTTGCTCTAGATCACTTAAAAAAATAAAACATTACAGATATGAATGAGACTCCTTGTCTACTCTCATTT